AGAACAAGTAGTTCTAAAAACATATCGATTGAACGCTTTAACAGCAGCAGCTGCTCCACGATGTTTGCTGTAATTGGTATCAGTGCGGTTACTAAGGAACTCTAGTTCCATCCGCCAGTGCTCGGCCACAAGGCCGCCGACCTCCCCCCCCATTCTAGTACCCCATGTCGCTCAAGGGAATCCCATATTTTGTGTTGTGCAGTATCGCTGTGAGTTTGTCCATTGGGTGATTTTGTTTAATCGTCTGTGTTACTTCCGTCATGCTAGGTGTGGTTGTGTCTAGTCATTTCCTTGCTAGTAAGATGCCAATTTTATAAATGTTAAGAGACAATATAACATTTAGGATAACAGATTAGAGGGTAGAAGAAGGGGATAGAAAGCGAGTAGGCATTCTGCAAGGTGGATTAACCAACGTAATCGTTAATGGTGTCTGCATAATCTAGTATGGAGTAGAGTGATTTTTAAAGTAGCATGCACGTTAGTCTGTGTCAGTCTATACATCTATATGTTGTCTGGAATCTTGGACATACTGTCTGTAGAGCAGATTGTTCTAGCAGCTCTGTGTGTTAATGAAGGGCCTCTAACGTTGTCCAGTCTGGAAGTTAAAAGCTGAATATTTGTTATTTGTAGTGCATTATCTATATCATGTATAATGATCATTAAACACAGAGTGGTCGCCTCTAGTCTGCATTGTCCCTTTAAACTAAGGCAGGAGCTGACCAATAATGCGTTGGAGGTGAGAGTCATTCCTGGATTGTAAAGTAATGCCGCAGGCTTTACGTCATCCCTGAGCTATAGACAGGTGGTAGGGGATAGGGGTAACCTCTATGACAGATATCTGAGCTGGGATATATTCCCATTACAAACTCTCATCGACTATATGTCTGCCCCAACTGAGCCTTCAGTGTTCTCATTGCTGTCCCTTTAACACATATTAGTTGAGGATCTGTCATTCAGTGTGTTCTCTCTCACATAGCAATGTTCCCATTCTAAGCCTGGCGCTATAATGTATGCAGGCATTGTAGCTGTACACCTGTGACGGAAGCTGCTGCTGTGCGCCGATCTCAGCCTCTGTATAGCCAAACTGCACCTGCCTTTCACAGCTGATCCTGGCCTCCCTCCGAGATAAAGAGATGGAAAAGACCAGCGCTGGCAGCAAGCAAAATGACATTTCCTCTGACCTTACCTCTAATTAGTACCCAAGGCGAGAGGGGCTATTTACATGTATCTACACGCCATCAATTATTAAAACCTTCAGTAACTGCTGTACAAGCTGTTTGTGCAACTGTATCCCAAAATAGAGCTAGAAATAGCAGGAGTGGGGAAGGAGCTAGCACTTACTACCTGTATTTAAAAGGGACGCTTGTTATTTACTTACGTCGGCTATAATAATGATGGAATATCTGATAAACTACCCCTCTCGTTACCAGATAGCCAGGTCTGCTTGGCTGATTAAGAGATAGATCAGGAGCCTCTGGATTTACAAGGTGAACTTGTAGAGACCTTTCTGGATCTCTTGTAGATAGATGACCTCTGGTGGCTGAGCTTCGGTTTGGCTTATTCCTACACAACTGCGGGTTACAGGCCGCTACTTAGAGAGCAACTATGTGATAAGGGCTGATTGGGTTCATTGGGAGACGTACAAGGAAGGGATATCCCCAAGGTTTAAAGGAATACAGTCTAGGACCCAAAAGGTAGATCCCCAGATGTTTTACAACTACAGCTCCCATGGTGCGTTGTCATTCTAAAGCACTCTAAAGGCGTGCAAAGAATTATGGGAGTTGTAGTTTTGCAACATCTAGGGATCTACCTTTTGGGCACCCCTAGTTTAGGAGCTAGACCTCATTCACATCTGTCATGTAATTGAAACTACCATAAGAGGGCAGTAGTTGTAGTTCTGCCCCACTCGTGGTTCAGCTTATTTCCTGCCCTTATACAATCTGCTGGTCTTGTCACAATGTATGGATTTTGATGGACTCTGCTCCTGTATAGGGAAAGATGTATTGAATACAACGCCTCTACTCTAAACTATTCCAAAAAGTGCTCATTACCTGCGTCTAACCTAGCAGGACATTTATTTACCCCCCCTCTCCCCTCCCAATAAAGTAGAATTCACTGTAACTCTGATCCCTCAATATGGGAGCTTTATACTTGTAAACTTATTAAATGTACACTATAGAGTAATGGGATTTTCTGCTTCATTAATCACTTTATAGAATCTCTCTGGGAGACGAACCAGCGTGGAAAATGAAAGATTAATCTAGGTAAAGATTCAGGCGCTGACATTTTGCAAAACAGCACAATGAGCTGATGTATGGATTTTCTGAAACTTCGTAATATTCCAAGCATCCGTAAAAAACAGAATGTTATTTCATAAATCCCCAAATCTGCCGTACGATGAATGACAGTGCGCTGTTTGTGTATCGTGTCTCTGAGCGAGGATCCAATACCTGGAGGCTTTGATTAATATATTGCGTAGATTAAATTGCCACATCTCCTGTGCAGAGACCTGGAATAATATTAAACAGTTGAGTTGAGTCGTAAGCAGGCACCGTTTAATGCGTGATAAATTGTACCTGCTGAAAATCTGCAACTTGTTTCCGCGTAATAGATCTGAGTTAAATCAAGCCTGGAAAATGTAAATACAACCAGAAGAAAACAAACCACCTTATTTAACTTCATTGAAGTCATATGAGGTAAAGGCTGGCAAAGCATCATGGGAGCTGTAGTTCTAGTCTACCTTATGACCATCCCTGAAGTAATACGGCTCCAATAGGGTGGTTGGCTATCTTGTATTATTTAGTAGGGCTCTGTTGTAGGCTGTTCTAGCTCTGTGACCGGGCTGGAGCTGTATGTATGTCTGAATTGTCGCCTTATCAGATCTAAATTAGAATAGACTGCCTTCAGAAACTCTCCATATCTGCGATGTTTGCTTAGTCTTCCAGTTATTGCCTTGCAAGTTTACTGAAAGCCATTATCAGAGCTGGATTGGGGCGTGCAGGGCCGTAGGCAGGGTGCCTCCTGCTAGAACCATTGGATGTGTTTCTGTGAGTGGTGTGTGTGTGTTGAGTGAGTTGTGTATGTGAAGTTTGTTGAGAGACACATGGGGGACCATGTGTGTTTGTGTGTGCTTTTTAAGTGTTGTGTGTGTTTGTGTGTGTGTGTTTATGTGTGGTAATTGTGTGTGTGTGTGTATATGTTTTGCCTCCCGGCTTACCTTCCCTGGGAGGGTGAGCATTATCCCTGGTGGGCTAGTGGAGAGTGTAGTGGATCCCTGGTTGTCTAGTGGAGAGTGTGATGGATCCCTGGTGGGCTAGTGGAGAGTGTGGTGGATCCTTGGTGGGCTAGTGGAGAGTGTGATGGATCCCTGGTGGGCTAGTGGAGAGTGTGATGGATCCCTGGTGGGCTAGTGGAGAGTGTGATGGATCCCTGGTGGTCAAGTGGAAAGTGAGATGGATCCCTGGTGGTCTAGTGGAGAGTGAGATGGATCCCTGGTGGTCAAGTGGAAAGTGAGATGGATCCCTGGTGGTCTAGTGGAGAGTGAGATGGATCCCTGGTGGTCTAGTGGAGAGTGAGATGGATCCCTGGTGGTCTAGTGGAAAGTGAGATGGATCCCTGGTGGTCCAGTGGAGAGTGAGATGGATCCCTGGTGGTCCAGTGGAGAGTGAGATGGATCCTTGGTGGTCTAGTGTTGAGTGAGATGGATTCCTGGTGGTCTAGTGGAGAGTTAGATGGATCCCTGGTGGTCAGTGGGGGAGCTCCATCATACTTGCATGCCATAGTGTTTTGTTAGAATGTAATGTTTGTCTTGTACACGCTGCAGAATATGTTGGCACTATGTTAGGGCTGCACTATGGTGATCTCTCTATATACCAACAATAAGCTCGCCGGTGATTTGGTCATGTTATACGTTCTTCCAGGGTCCATCTACTCTCTATAAAGACATTTATTTTACATTTATTACATTATCTTTGTCAAGGATTCACATAGTAGGAGGACCTAATCCATACCTCCTTACAGTCCCATATCTGACAGGACAGTCCTGATTTTGAAATCTCTCTATCCTGCAACCAACTATATTGTTCTGTCTCTGCAACTCTACCTCTGGGTGGCACAAAAAGTGGAGTTCTTGGCCAGTCTATGGCTACAGTAAAACGTCTTTTTCTGTGTGCGATTAGTTTTCTTATCGCTAGCCCAAAATGCAAACTTGGCTTGCGGTTATCCCTATTGGATGAGCGATATATAGTATATATAACTAGGAGTGAATCGTGTGCAGGAAAGTTTTTTATTTTGGTCTATTTGACACATTTACAGGCGTCTCTATAACTGTATTCACCAAGACAGTCTGCGTGTATATCAAATAATATCTATACAGTTTGTACGTCAGACACTGCAAAACCATTCCTTTCAACCCAGGAATGTGATACCTCCCGTCCTGACAGCTCTGTTTACAGATTATTAAAATAACCATTTAGGACGGTGAAGCACCCTTCACTTGGCTATTATCAATCTGTGCGTCGTTGAGTCTTGATCTAACAGAGGGAGCAGGATGGATCTCCCTAATTATCTTCCGAGACTCCCAACTATTATTGTTCTTGTTTTTGGATTTCCTGTATGGTTTTATTATTTGATTGGTCTTTTAATATCTCCCCCCCCCCCCTCGATTCGGCGATGGTCCCTAGACGCTGAGTCACTGGTGACGTGTGAGTATTAGCCAGTGATTAAATGTCACTCGGCACTGAGTCACTGAGTCCTCTATCATTTTATAGGTACTGTAAATTCAGATAAGATTGAGCTAAATTAGGAGGAAGCCAAATGAAGATTTCAATCTTGGCTAGCGTGCAATAAATCTGTCTCGAAAGCGAAAATATTATAGGTCTGTATTAACCCTTTCACCTCTGTGCTCTGTTTGTTAAATGAAAAATGTATTGGAAAGTTAGACATACACAGTTAGGACAAAACATGAGGTTTGAGTGTGAATACCGGGACAGCTTTAATGGATGATTCTTATAGTATCCTTTGTCACCTCCCAACTTTACCGGATTCGCCAGGGAAGTCATGATTTTGGGGTCTCTTCACACCATTGCAGGGGCAAAAGGGGCATCTGCCCTGTGCTCCACGGGGGTTCACAACAACCCCCTATTCATGCCCCACAGCCTTTTATTTTAAATTCTCCTGAATACGGCAGGCAGACGGCTCATAGGCGGGGAAGCCTGATATGGGCGGACAGTGGGGAGAGTAGTAGGAAAACAATCGCTGTTACTGTCTCTTTAAACTAGTATCTATTCCTTCCCCTGTTAGCGCTATTTTGAATTTCATGGTTCTTACAGGTTGCCCTGTGTATATAAACACCAAAAAAACACAGCTAAGAGTCTGGTTGGTGTTTCCACCTTCCCAACACTTAGTGTGAGTGTAGCGCTGTATAAGTGTTCACAGAAGAAAAATTAACATACAGAACATACACTTACCCCTCGGAATATGTGGGGGTTGTATGTGAAAAACAAAACAGAAGACAAAAATAGTGCAATACTGTATGGCAGAATACCATCCAGGAGCTCCCCCTCCTGACCTCCCAAAATACTGTCCAGGGTCCCCCCATCCTGACCCTCCCAGATACCACCCAGGAACCCCTTCCTCCTGACCCCCCAAAATACTGTCCAGGAGCCCCCCTGCATGACCCCCCCCCCAGAAACTGTCCATGACCCCCTATCCTTATCCCCATATTCTGTCCAGGAGCCCCCATCCTGACCCCCAGATACTGTCTAGAAGCGCCACCTCCCCACCCCCCATGTGATATTTGCTCTCTCCTGTACAAGGTGAGAGGGAGAATAGCATGACAGTATTTACAATCCTAGAAGGACATACTGGAGTTCAAGATAAGGAATGTGTTTGTTATCTGGCTCAATATTTACACTTGCCACAGGCTAGTTACAATTTATCCCAGGCTAGAAATTGACCTTGTAGGCTTGCAGCGACAAATACATTTAACGCCTGGCTAGTGGATTAAGACTTGCAATCTACCAGCACAGGACAATATGTGTATATTTATTGGTAACTCGAATAAATCCAGTGACGGGATGCAGAGGGACAACCTGCGTGTGTTCTCTGGACTGGGATACAAGGGGTTAATGTTTATTGCTGAGCGTTTCGCAGATCCCTGTAATTACTTTACCCAGGAGGAAACTTGCTGCTAAGTAAGTGAATGCATTTAGCTGACTAGTCATTGGAAAAGGTATTGGAAATCAATAAATCCCTAATTTAATGGTTTTACTCCTGGGATATTATGCAGACATTATTCCCGGTCACTTTGCCATCTATTGCGTCTTGAGCTCGAGTGGAAATAAATATCGTTGATTAAAGCACCATGCATGTATTAATAACAACACAAACACCCATTACATTAAACAATCCAGATATTTAAAACCAGTTTTATGCCTCACATATTCTGCTACAGAAACAATCAATATCCTCGCACTGTAACTATCTGAAGATCTAAGAAGACAGATTAAAAAGTCCACTTTTAATGTGCGGCAGGCAATGCCTTTTAATTTGTTTATTTGTAACCAGCCAGGATATAGCAACGTTTCTATTCACTGTGTTATTAACCATGGGGGGTAACTCTACCAGTCTTTCTTCTGAGATGTGACTGCATCTTCCTACATCGACAAACTCTACGATGTCTGATCTGTGTCTGTGATAACTTAAAGAGCTATTAGAATCAATGACAATAAAATCCGTCCCGAATATGATCCAATATTGACTCAGTATGAGATCCACCACCCATTACATCATACACTAACTCAGTATGACATCCACCACCCATTACGTCATACACTGACTCAGTATGACATCCACCACCCATTACATCATACACTGACTCAGTATGACATCCACCACCCATTACATCATACACTGACTCAGTATGGCATCCACCACCCATTACATCATACACTAACTCAGTATGACATCCACCACCCATTACATCATACACTAACTCAGTATGACATCCACCACCCATTACATCATACACTGACTCAGTATGACATCCACCACCCATTACATCATACACTGACTCAGTATGACATCCACCACCCATTACATCATACACTGACTCAGTATGACATCCACCACCCATTACATCATACACTTCAGTATGACATCCACCACCATTACATCATACACTGACTCGGTATGACATCCACCACCCATTACGTCATACACTGACTCAGTATGACATCCACCACCCATTACATCATACACTAACTCAGTATGACATCCACCACCCATTACATCATACACTAACTCAGAATGACATCCACCACCCATTACATCATACACTGACTCAGTATGACATCCACCACCCATTACGTCATACACTGACTCAGTATGGCATCCACCTCCCATTACATCATACACTAACTCAGTATGACATCCACCACCCATTACATCATACACTAACTCAGTATGACATCCACCACCCATTACATCATACACTAACTCAGTATGACATCCACCACCCATTACGTCATACACTAACTCAGTATGAGATCCACCACCCATTACATCATACACTAACTCAGTATGGCATCCACCACCCATTACATCATACACTAACTCAGTATGACATCCACCACCCATTACGTCATACACTGACTCAGTATGACATCCACCACCCATTACGTCATACACTAACTCAGTATGACATCCACCACCCATTACATCATACACTGACTCAGTATGACATCCACCACCCATTACGTCATACACTGACTCAGTATGACATCCACCACCCATTACGTCATACACTAACTCAGTATGACATCCACCACCCATTCGTCATACTAACTCAGTATGACATCCACCACCATTTCGTACACTACTCAGTATGACATCCACACCACCATTCGTCATACACACTATATGACATCCACCACCATTACATCCACTGACTCAGTATGGCATCCACCACCCATTACGTCATACACTGACTCAGTATGACATCCACCACCCATTACATCATACACTGACTCAGTATGGCATCCACCTCCCATTACATCATACACTGACTCAGTATGACATCCACCACCCATTACATCATACACTAACTCAGTATGACATCCACCACCCATTACATCATACACTAACTCAGTATGTCCACCACCCATTACATCATACACACTCAGTATGACATCCACCCATTACATCATACACTGACTCAGTATGACATCCACCACCCATTACATCATACACTGACTCAGTATGACATCCACCACCCATTACATCATACACTGACTCAGTATGACATCCACCACCCATTACATCATACACTGACTCAGTATGACATCCACCACCCATTACATCATACACTGACTCAGTATGACATCCACCTCCCATTACATCATACACTGACTCAGTATGACATCCACCTCCCATTACATCATACACTGACTCAGTATGACATCCACCTCCCATTACATCATACACTAACTCAGTATGACATCCACCACCCATTACATCATACACTAACTCAGTATGACATCCACCACCCATTACATCATACACTAACTCAGTATGACATCCACCACCCATTACATCATACACTAACTCAGTATGACATCCACCACCCATTACATCATACACTAACTCAGTATGACATCCACCACCCATTACATCATACACCTACTCAGTATGGCATCCACCACCCATTACATCATACACCGACTCAGTATGGCATCCACCACCCATTACATCATACACTGACTCAGTATGACATCCACCACCCATTACGTCATACACCGACTCAGTATGACATCCACCACCCATTACATCATACACTAACTCAGTATGACATCCACCACCCATTACATCATACACTAACTCAGTATGACATCCACCACCCATTACATCATACACTAACTCAGTATGACATCCACCACCCATTACATCATACACTAACTCAGTATGACATACTCCACTCATTACATCATACTGGGGGCTGTTGTGGGGATAACTTGCAGCAAGGCTGTGATACAATATTGAGCACCAGCCCTGCTGGCTTGTTTGGCCCCATGACATGAGAATTGGCTAACTGGCAAAGGAGATCTTTGATCTTCCAAAGGCCGTGCCACCTCTCGCTTGCCTGCTGCCCAGAGGTTGTGGCCTCTGTGGCTCTTATGGCAAATCCAGCACTGATTACACAGCCCCCCGATTTCTTCTTCAGCTGATGCACACACTAACAATGCAATAATTAATGAATCCTAATGCAATCATAAACCACCCAATTAAACCTTTCCTTGTGTACCTGCATTGCTTGGTGTCAACTACATTGGCTGCCCTTAGACAATGCAAATATGTTTAGTTATAAATAAAGTGAAATAAAATGTAACCAACACATAATAACATCTTACAAACACACATAATGAAATACGTCGTACATTTAGCAATACCTGGAATTCATTTATGTTTGCCAGATAATAAAACCAGATGACCTTTAGTCAGGACGGAAAATGCGTCGAAGGCTTGCGATCATTGTAAGGCTGTCTAGCAAGGGTCAAAATATTACATTAAGTCATGGGAGGAATTAGGAATTGTGGGAAATCAATGAAAGAATTGCATTTTTAAAGCTAAAATAGCCAAATTATAAACTATTTATTTTTGGCAAAAAAAATCTACAATTTCTTTTACAATTCTCCACAAATTAATCTCTATCAGGGTTGTATGCTGAAATGTGAATTGTCAGGAATTCAAAGTCAATTTCACATTTTTAGGGCAATATATTCAATTGAGAAACATTCCCCAAGCCAGCTGTATTTTCAGTTCACTGTTTTGGGCTAAAATGTAATATATACTTTGAACACCATACTTCTACTTAGAAACATCGCATAGTTTATCACTCCACAACTAATCCAAGAATCACTTTATTCTGTCAAAAGTTTTAATATGTAAAAGCATCCAATTCCATGAAATAAATATTGTATTTTATTGGCCAAAGAAATATTGTATTTTACTATTATTTTTTTTAAAAGCACATTTAAGTCCCTAAAGATATATATTATTTTTCCATGGCTTGATTGAAAAATAAAAATGGAGAGTACATTGACGATTTTGGAAATAAAATGTATAAAAAAAAAAAAAAAAGAATTACACGTTATGTATTTTTGTTGAAGTGTGTTTTTGTTGAAAGCACCGTATGTGGCCCTTACATTCTCACTGCATGGAGTACCTTTGTGGAAGAAAACAACAGGTATACATTTTAAAAATATAGACATGGGTCAAATCAATTGTAACATCCTTTGTGGTGAGTGCAAGTTTTTTTTTTTTTTTTTATCTCGTGTTTAATCTCACAAATACAGAATATCGATGCCATGCAAAACTCATGTGGTTCTCGCTCAAAAAATATAGAGCTTTATTTTACAATTATCAGTAGTTTATTTTCTTTTAGAAAATTTAGTGATGGGAAGAGTCTCAAAAATATATATATATAAATTTGTCTACGTGATCATTTACGAACGGCATTTAGAAGTCGATGGAAACAGAACCCTGAGCGCAGTCTTCTCTGCCACGAACGTAAATTTCACAAGGAATCTCCTCCATAACTCTGTCTTCGATGCCTTGATCTGGGCAGTCGAGGGCCTGTTGTTTGAAAGTATACGTGCTTTTTTTGAAGGTGCTATTGAACGTTTTCATTGGCTGAGGTTGTGCAAAATCGTTGCGGAAAGGAAGATCCATTGAGCTGAGATTGGTCCTGCTGTGTTTTAGAGTTGCTGTTTGCGACCCACAGTGATGGTCATGAATACACCTTGAAGTGGTCGATGAACGCCTGTTTTTTTGGTAGTTCTCCAGTTCCTCTGATAGGTCTGCCAGGTCCGCAGAGATCTCCTTGTCTCTTAGTGAAAAGAGCTCATAGTGGGGAGGATCAAAAGCTTCTTGAAATCCAGTTTTGTTGAAGGTAGTCTTGCGAGCCATAATTTTTTTCCGAGGCTGCTTCACTTGGACCAGGATAGAAATTATGAGTAGAACTAACACAACACCAGACGTAATGCCAATGATAGTCCCATGGGTCTTGGTGATCTGCTCAAATAATCCGGCTTCTTTCTTTTCTGTAAGAGATAACACTTTGTTACATCATTTGACAGCCCTGTAGGAGTGCACAGGGTTTCAGGGTGGGTCAATATCCCAGACAAACGTAGACCAATGCATTTGCCAATACAACTGATATTGATCTGGCACTGGTGGTACTGGGAATATCCAAATTTTAGACTTTTACTATAGCTTTAATATAACTGACATTTAAGATCTCCCCACAATAAACTAACTTAAAGACCATACTTTAATACATAGCTAAACAATATTTATATATGTGTGTGGGGAAACCCCCCCGCCCTCCCAAAAAACCAGAATTGTTGTCAAAGTTAAAATGTTTCCCTTATAATTAATGTTAATGCTCTACATCCATTTGATATAGATAATATATAATAAATAACCATGGAAACCAGTGGAAGGTTTCTCCTGAGTCCATTGGTTTCCATGACGATTGTTCCACTTTCTGAGACCTTGCTCCAGAATTGCTATGTTCTCTGATAAGTAACACATTTATACAGCACCTTCTGCCAGGTTTGGTCCCTGGGAGAATTCCCGTCTGTATCTGGCTGAATCATACGTTACGGCTAGATTAGAACGCCTCTCACCTTTACAGTGATTCTCATCCCAGGGGTATGCGCAATTCTGGATCCCGTTACAGACCAAGGAATTATTGATACACATGTTGCTATGGCAGAAGAAGGTGTTGCCAATACAGGGGGCTGCAGAGACAGAATAATATTAAATGCTCAGCTTTCGTGTTCACAGAATAACTCTCCCTTGCGCTATCACTGATCTACGTTTCCATTAATATTAGTTTACTAAACCTGGCTTCTTAATTTTAAGGATAAGGTCATTTTCAGGAACACCCACTACACTTTGTACTTCCCAACCCTGTGAATAAACGTCTTAACAAAATCTGTTTATTCTATAACGGCTCACTGACTTTCCACTCAGATCCAATGGGATCCTGCGCTAGTCTTCACCTGACAGAGGAGCAAATTTCTCAACCTCCATACGTTGTACTGAAGCCTATTTGGTTCAGAAAGCAAAGTGCTGCATGATATTCAGAGAGTGAATGTTTTATGGGCACACATCGAGTCCTGCTGGACTTTCCTCTGATCTCCAGTTCCTTACAAAAAGTCTGTCAAAAATTCTCAAGGAAAGTGTATCGACTGACTGGGCAATCCCTCTCTCTAGACTAGTGTTTTATTGTGGCTATCTCTACACATGTTATGTGTTGGTCACACTTCCACTCTTTAGCTACACAAAGCATATATTACTCATGTTTAATGAATGCATTGTGTCATATCTGTCAATCTTTCGTTCTCTCCTTACCTTTTCTGTTTTTTATATCCAACTTTCTCTAGAATTGGATCTTATTTTAAACCGTTCCTTCATTTTGTTTCAACTTATGGTGTCTGTCATCTATCATGTTTTTATACAGCCATTGTTAAAGGACCCCTATAGGCACCCAGACCACTTCAACTTAATGAAGTGGTCTGGCTGCCAGGTCCACCTAGGATTAACCCTTTTTGCTGTAAACATAGCATTTTCAGAGAAACTGCTATGTTTACATATGGGTTAATCCAGCCTCTAGTGGCTGTCTCACTGACAGCCGCTAAAGGCGCTTCCGCGCTTCTCACTGTGATTTTCACAGTGAGAAGACGCCAGCCTCCATAGGAAAGCATTGAGAATGCTTTCCTATGAGACTGGCTGAATGCGCGTGCGACTCTTGCCGTGCATGCGCATTCAGCCGGTGACGACCAAAGGAGGAGAGTCCCCCGCGCCGAGGGAGCCCGGGGCTGAAAAAAAGGTAATGGATTAACCCCTTCCTCCCCCTTCAGCCCGGCGGGAGTGGGACCCTGAGGGTGGGGGCACCCTCAGGGCACTATAGTGCCAGGAAAACGAGTTTGTTTTCCTGGCACTATAGTGCCCTGGAAAACACTAGTCTTAAACTGGAAGAAAGAAGATTTAGTCTAAGCCAAAGTAAAGGGTTTTTACTGTAAAAGCAAAAACAATACAATAAGGATGTGGAATTCTCTGCCTGAAGAAGTGGTTTTATCAGAGTCTGTACAGATGTTTAACCCCTTAGTGACCAGACCGCATTTCAATTTTCTTACTGTTTCTTACTGGGGGGAGGGGGTGGGGTAATGTTATACCCGGGAGACTTAGCTGAACACAAATATTAGTGTTTCAAAACAGTAAAACGTATTACAGCAATGATATCATCAGTGAAAGTGCCGTTTGTGTGTTAAAAATGCAAAAAACTTCACTTTCAAATTCCCCCAAATTGCAATCAATAAAATGACTTAATTATGTAAAAATATTACACAAATATGCACGTAGAATTTAAATATATATACATATTTATTTATTTGAAGTCTACGTGTATATTTATGAAATTATTTATGTAATTATGTATATGGACATTTGTATATTTCGTATTATTTTTATTTATTTATATATACATAGATATATGTATAAATTAATTCTAAGTGTATATATATATATATATATATATATATATATATATATATATATACATACATACAAGTATAGTGGCACTCACCCTTTCAATGAATCAGTAAAAGACTGCCTTGGTGCAATCCCATGCTGGATATGTAAAGCAAAAAGGAAAGAGATGCACTCTCAGGTCTTTGTAAAAAAACTCGATATTATTTAATAACAGGTAACATACATCTGATCAGATGTATGTTACCTGTTATTAAATAATATCGAGTTTTTTTCTACAAAGACCTGAGAGTGCATCTCTTTCCTTTTTGCTTTATATATATATATATATATATATATATACATAAATTCTTTTATTATTTTTACATTTTTTATTTATTTTTAATTATTCTTTTTTTAAAATATATATACAATATATGTAGTTATTATATTATATATATATATATATATATATATATACGTGTGTAATTTTACTCTAAGTGTATTTTTATATTATTATATGTATATATTAATAAAAAATAAACTTAGTATGACGTTATATATAAGATATATATATATATATATATATATATATATATATATATACAGTTGCAAGAAAAAGCATTTGAACCCTTTGGAATGATATGGATTTCTGCACAAATTGGTCATAAAATGTGATCTGATCATCATCTAAGTCACAACAATAGACAATCACAGTCTGCTTAAACTAATAGCACACAAAGAATGAAATGTTGCCATGTTTTTATTGAACACACCATGTAAACATTCACAGTGCAGGTGGAAAAAGTATGTGAACCCTTGGATTTAATAACTGGTTGAACCTCCTTTGGCAGCAATAACTTCAACCAAACGTTTCCTGTAGTTGCAGATCAGACGTGCACAACGGTCAGGAGTAATTCTTGACCATTCCTCTTTACAGAACTGTTTCAGTTCAGCAATATTCTTGGGATGTCTGGTGTGAATCGCTTTCTTGAGGTCATGCCACAGCATCTCAATCGGGTTGAGGTCAGGACTTTGACTGGGCCACTTCAGAAGGCGTATTTTCTTCTGTTTAAGCCATTCTGTTGTTGATTTACTTCTATGCTTTGGGTCATGGTCCTGTTGCAACACCCATCTTCTGTTGAGCTTCAGCTGGTAGACAGATGGCCTTAAGTTCTCTTGCAAAATGTCTTGATAAACTTGGGAATTCATTTTTCCTTCGATGATAGCAATCCGTCCAGGCCCTGACGCAGCAAAGCAGCCCCAAACCATGATGCTCCCACCACCATACTTCACAGTTGGGATGAGGTTTTGATGTTGGTGTGCTGTGCCTTTTTTTCGCCACACATAGTGTTGTGTGTTTCTTCCAAACAACTCAACTTTGGTTTCATCTGTCCACAGAATATTTTGCCAGTACTGCTGTGGAACATCCAGGTGCTCTTGTGCAAACTGTAAACGTGCAGAAATGTTTTGTTTGGACAGCAGTGGCTTCCTCTGTGGTATCCTCCCATGAAATCCATTCTTGTTTAGTGTTTTACGTATTGTAGATTCGCTAACAGGGATGTTAGCATTTGCCAGTGACTTTTGTAAGTCTTTAGCTGACACTCTAGGATTCTTCTTCACCTCATTGAGCAGTCTGCGCTGTGCTCTTGCAGTCATCTTTACAGGACGGCCACTCCTAGGGAGAGTAGCAGCAGTGCTGAACTTTCTCCATTTATAGACAATTTGTCTTACCGTGGACTGATGAACAGCAAGGCTTTTGGAGATACTTTTATAACCCTTTCCAGCTTTATGCAAGTCAACAATTCTTAATCGTAGGTCTTCTGAGAGCTCTTTTGTGCGAGGCATCATTCACATCAAGCAATGCTTCTTGTGAAAAGCAAACCCAGAACTGGTGTGTGTTTTTTTATAGGGCATCTGTAACCAACACCTCCAATCTCATCTCACTGATTGGACTCCAGTTGGCTGACATCTCACTCCAATTAGCTCTTGGAGATGTCATTAGTCTAGGGGTTCACATACTTTTTCCACCTGCACTGTGAATGTTTACATGGTGTGTTCAATAAAAACATGGCAACATTTCATTCTTTGTGTGTTATTAGTTTAAGCAGACTGTGATTGTCTATTGTTGTGACTTAGATGATGATCAGATCACATTTTATGACCAATTTGTGCAGAAATCCATATCGTTCCAAAGGGTTCACATACTTTTTCTTGCAACTGTATATTCTATATAGATATTATAAATGTATCTCTCGCTCTCTCTCTCTCTCTCTCTCTCTCTCTCTATATATATATATATATATATATTTTGTAATTTATTAACTTTTTTAAAACTTTTTTTTACCAGCAGGGAGATTGCCTGTCAGTTCAGGCAGCCCCCCTGCTGGCAGCACTATGGACATCTATTTTTTTTTTTTATATACATTAATTTTTTTCCTTCACTTAGTGCCTTGACCCCTCGAGGCACTCAGCACAGGCAGAGCATCGGAAGCCTAAATCATGGCTTCCGATGCTCTGCCTCACTGCTGGGCGCCACGTGAGAGGGGGTATTGCATGATGCCTTGACATCAAGGCATCGCAGCAATACCGTTAGAGTGGCTGGAAGCGATCATGTAACTATGTAACAATGAATAAAATAAATGCAGGATGCAAAAGCTGTCTATGTTGCCCAGTATAATAACTTAATAATGTTTTGTTTTATCATTATGCCCACAATCAAATTATTTATATTGTGCTGGCATTTTGAGAGTCTGCATTTCCAAAAACGTGCACGCATGTTGCTAATCAAATACCAAGAAGCAAAAACTACATATTTGCCTATTTTCATTGCCCACTCTGCTGCCGCATGGCAAGTCGCCCTCAGTAATCATCACTTTGTATGTGCAGGGATTGAGCATCTCACTATATGAATACAGCTCTTGCTTTGTCTCAGTAGCCAATTTACTTACGTTCCACAAAAGATGTGAACAGCATCCGAAATCTGCTCAGCCGGCTCCCTTCATCTGCCCACATCCGCACAACGCCGGTTCCTGTCTGTAGCATCACGTCATTCGCCACTGTGCTGCAGAATTTAGCCTTCAGGTTCTCTATGGAGCTGCTACCATCATACACGGCTACAAAGTTACGCTTGCATTCGTTTGAATGTTCCATCTGATAGTCAAGAAATCTCAGGTAAATCTGTAGAAACAAGAGGAACTGTAACATGAACCTGTATGAATTGGAGTGAACTACCTCCTAGAACCAGCTGATCATATCAGTAAAGCCATGTCCTGTCTGTCTGCATTGCAAACTGGGAGTCCACACGAGAAGGACTACTCCAAACCGCCTCACTCCTTACTGGGAATACAAACATTGTAAATTAGGAATCATGGGTAAAATTAAAAGGAGTGCATTCTGCCCAGGATGTTTTATTACCAAATGATGCACTTTACCTGTGAATAGTCATACTCTATTTATTGTACTCTGGATATCTCCTTTTTATTCTAGAGGAGGATTACCATGATTTTGTGTCATGGTGGAGTATGCTGTTGAATTTCTAGACTGCGGAGTGTATCCAATGCCAAATTAATGTCTAACAACTCGGCACTCTGAAACCAGGTCTTCTATTAGTTCAAGTGGAGTCTAATCAGACTCCAATGTGACTTTATGAATAGCACATGCATTAGTCTTGTGTACCTACCTTGGCTTTTGTGGTGGCTTTGATTGTCCAAATACAGTCTACAGCTTGTCCGGGTTTCAATTTCCCATCTTGTTCCACTTGACTGGAACGTATTATTCCATCTGCACCTGACAGCTCGAATTGGCAATCTGTCACAAGAAGGGAATGATCTTGTCAATGGAATGAGGAGACCATTTACTATCTCACCATGAGAAAATAGATTGCAATCCAGTCCTGTACCTGGTATAGGATTGAGGATACCCCCTAGGTAACTGAAATCCGGATCTGTAACAAACAGGAAAAATCTTTTTTCATAAAATCATTTCTAGTACAAATACTACAAATTGCAGCATTCCCCTGAACGTGCATGTTTTAATTGGCTTCCTGATATAATAATTATTATTATTACTGCCATTTATATAGCGCCAACAGATTCCGTAGCGCATTACAATATTATGAGAGGGGGGATTTAACTATAAATAGGACAATTACAAGAGAACTTACAGGAACGATAGGTTGAAGAGGACCCTGCTCAGACGAGCTTACAGTCTATAGGATGATCAGATATTATGCACAATACACAATGGGATCATGGGATCTGCACATTACACTGGCTTTAAATCTCTTTTAAGCTGCATTCTGAATTTCAATCTCCCTGCGATTTTTGTTTCTTTCTAAGGAATACCTGGTATAAATGAGTATTTTGCCCGGAAGCCCAATCCTTCGAGTTCCTCATCAGAAGAAAACTTAATCCACATGAATCGTCCTGTCGATCTGATCACCACTGGACTCCGGAGACCACAGTATCGGTCAATCAGTGGGGAGAAGCCAAATGGGCCATCTCGGACCTCAAGATTATCAAACCGGCATTCGAAGGAAGGTTCTATGTGATATGGTTCATCAAAAGTCATCTCAATTCTTTGGCGTGGAGCAGCTGAAAAGAAGTGAATATTATGTCAGCAGGTTACGGTTTAATGGAGACTGTGTCATACCTACCCACTGCCTCTCTTCAACCATTGCACCTGGCATTTCTTTTTCTAGTACATA